GATCGCAGCGCGATCAAGTTTCGGAGCGTAGTTGGGAGTCGTCAAACCATTATTGTACACATCGTGAGGCGCACAAAGTCCGTCCTTGTACACCTGGTTTGTACCCTGAACGCTGTCCTCAGAATATCGCCCAAGAAATGCACTGCCCACTTTTGATTAATCGTTGTGCATCATCATCCACTCTGCCTTCAACACCACTGTCGCGAGCTCCATTGGTGGGCACTTGTGGTGTGAATTTGGAATCACAGCATGCAAGTGATCATGTAAGCCACGAACGTTTTCTCGCACAGAAGAGTTACGCGTGAAGAGGCTGGAGATCATGCACATGGCCTTCATGAATGACATCCACGGCGTGGCCGTGGTCGCACTGTATTCATAGTGGGCGTCGCCGCCGACTCCTCCAACAACTTTGCCGATGCAACTCGTCGCGTCGATGGGCGCGGAGCGGGTAACTTCGACAATGGTGGATTCGCCGGGCACTCGTAGATCACACTCTGCACTTCGATCAAAGCGCAGATAATGCACGTAGGTGAAGCCATCCTCGGGATCGCGAGGACGACCCGTCTGAGCGTGGCACGTGAAGCCCACGCGGTCGTCGGCCTCGGCGTTCGCGTCGTAGCTGGCGTCGTAGGCGATGGCCCAGCCGTTGAGGTGGAGCGGCGATGCCTAGTCCATCTCGAAGATGGGGGGATCGGGGTTAGAACCGATCGCACTTGATTGCGTCTCGCGCGCAGCGAGCAAGATGCTGGTAAGCTTCGTCGCTCGAGTGGTAAAACAGCTGCGGCACGATCGTATAATAAGTGTTCTAGACTTCCCTGTACCATGCGGTGGTGAAGGAGGATGACGAGGGTGTCCACCGTGCGGCGAACGTGCCCTCGCTCGAGGTGTTCGCGAATCGGTAGCCGCAGCAGGAACACCGATATAGCACATGCATGCACATACTCCCTCGTGATTGGCTTGTCCAACACACAAGACTCCGCATTCTGATCCTACCTCGCCCCATTTTTCTTTGTCGGTAAGTGATATCTTACATATTTCCAGACATCCATCCCGTTTTGGAGGTTCTGCGACATGAGGTAAACCATCGGGCCTCTGAGGCCCTCGCAGTGGTCTCCTTGGATCCTTTGGAGCGCACTGTACCGGGGCAACGGGAAAGATGAGCGAGTGTTCCAATAGATCCCTCCAGAGGTCTGCTTTCTTTGGCTCAAAATGTTGTCATCATATCTGCAATTTGTTCTTTTGTACCTGCGTGCCTGAGCTCAAAAAAATCGAATTGGCATGTCTCGCAAATCCAATCCAAGTTAATACGATGAGTACGATGTAGATGACGAGGTGCGGGCGCACGTCCCTTTTGGACAATCTTGATCACGGCCTCGTAATCCTCGAGGACGATGAGATGCACTTTCGGAGAGCTGCTCTCCAGAGCGGGCTCTGGTTCCACGTGCAGCACGGCACCCTCATGGGATATCGCGCGCCTCTTTGGAGGCACAGGTAGCTCCGTCTTCAGCGGTAGCTGCCTACGGCTAGGAGAAGATACCCGTGTAGGAGATGCCTTGCGAGGCGATGGCTCACACCTCTTCTTTTTGGCGGCCAGCGTCGGGCATGTCGCCGCAGCGGCGAGCCCCAGGCAGCCCATGCAAGTAGTCTTCACTTTGCATGTGTTGGCAACCTCCACCACGGCCTCCCAGAATGAGAGTAGTGGTAGTCCCTCCAGTCGTTGCGCCGAGTCAAGAGCAACGATCTCGGACTCTGTGGATGAGTGCGATACGACAGTTTGTTTCTTGCACACGGCGTTGACCGGGAAGAACGCGTTGGGTCCAACAAGCGCCGCGAAGACACCGGTAGTGGATTTGGAGGAGGTAATGCAATCGGCGAACGAGGCGCCAGTGAAAAGCATGATGGATAGCTGGTCTGAAGGGTCGCCAATCCACCCATGTAAACAATGGGTGCGCGTCGTTTTAATGTAGCATCTCAGCCGATGAAGGCGTTTATCACACGTGGTATTCCATTTAGTAATTTCTCTGGCTAGCATACATACTGGATGTAAAAGATCGAAACGACAACAGCGTGCCAGATAGAGAATCTTCATCAGTACACTCGCCGCGTCCTGGCCGAGGATACCCTCGTCGGAGTAGTCGGACTCGGTAAAGGAGGTGCCCTCTATGCCAGGAGTCTCCGCGTCGGGTAGGTCATCATATGTGACTGTCGTGGATTGTGTCGTAGTGGAAGGTCTGTCGACCGATCCAGCTGGGCTGGATGATCGTGACCGCGCGTTGAGTGCGCTAGTGGGTCTCACGACCGACCCGGATGAGCTAGGCGAATTGGATCGCGAAGCCCTCGGCGAGTCAGACAGTTTAAGACGTGACCCTGTCCCATGGGTACGCTTGGAGGCGCACTCCAGGTAGCGCTCAATACATTGATCAGTAAAACCAAGCATGTCATGTCGTATTCCACGAACTTGTTTAGCTGTATGATATGATTTGTCACTGTAGGCAGGCAACATAGGTCGAATGGTAGAAATTCTTTTGTCGAATACGTTCTGCGGTACATCGTCTGCCTGTTGTCCACAGCCAAGGTATTGAGAGCATGGGGTAGGCGGATCCAAATCAATAACACTTTTGCGGATATGATCGCAGCCGGCTTGTAGGTTGGTGGCTGGTCCTGCTAGTTTAAAGTCGTCCACGTATACTGAAAGTATCAATCCCAGTTTGTTGTGTCTCCACACGCATTCCCAGCCTGGGATGGGCTCAAATCCAACACTTTCCAGACACGTGCGACACTTTCGTTCCCAAAAGACACCTGCGAGAGGGTGCCCGCATAGTGCCAATCGTAATCGGCGCACGGGATTCTTGCATTTAGACCAAGATGCAGGTTGTCGCCACTTGGGCATGGTAATCCACGTATCGACTGGGTCGATTCTTCCGTCTCCGTATAGCAATGCTTGCGTGTATGCGACAGGTGCGTCGCTCTGCTCGCCCGCATACTTTGGCAATAATGCGGTAGCATCACAAAGTTTGGATGCTTCGACATGCGACGCACTGGATGCGGCATCGGCGAATATGGCGGCCAAGCCAGTTTCATCTTTGCCGGTCTTGCCCTGAACCACCACTCGGCCCTTGAACTTACGTAGTTCAGGAGGAAGTTCTTCATGTTTGACTGAAGATAGCTCCAAGATGTTGAAGAAGTGAACTTTCTTCCCAGTCCGAATCGCCTGCGACTCAATATCATCTTTTTCAGCAGCAGTCTCCAACATCCATGTTTGCTTCTTTTCAAGGCGCTCGTATTCTTTGCGTAGGGCCTCCTGTGCACGTGGTTATGCGGCAACTTCTTTCTTACTCAAATGTATGGTAACAAGGGCTGGGCGTGCCCACGGTGAGTCAGGAATATTATCTCTGTGTGCCGGTGTGTATGTCGGCCCACGTGGCATGGTGGGCACTGCCACCGACGGGGTGAACTTGCGTGTGAGCGGGTTCACGGCCCCGAAGTCGCTCCCCTCACTGTCAACAAGTACCAGAGCACGTGCGACTCCAGAGGGCTGTGGTCCACCAGGTAGTTTGGCATACAGAATTTCTTTGTTGGTCACGCCCTCGACGTCCTCGTCACGAATGACAGCGCCGCTGTCCGTATCGAAAGTAATCCGTCGTTCCACGGTATTCCATGTGTGTCCACCAGCTGTAGTAGCACGGAAATTTGTAGCTTGTTTGTCCTGTCGGGTCCACACTCGAAGTGCAGCTCGTTCACGAGTCTCACGAGCCTGTTTGATATCTTCGGCGTACTCAATATCCTTCCTTTGCTGTCCGCGAGATAAGGTCTTCCAATGCTCGGGAAGAATGTTGTCTGGACGCGTAGTAGTCTGCACGCGGGTCTCGCGTCCGCGGACCACCATTTTGCCGTCAGGCAACATTTTAGGGAGCTCATAGAATCGAACCAGGCCGGTTCAAGGCTCGCTCAGTTCTCGGTGCTCTGTGGCGCTAACACCATTCCAACATCGCGAAAGACACTTTCTCCATCAAAGGTAGAAGTCGTCTCGAAGTCTCGTGTTAAATCGAGCTGATCAACAGGTACAGGTATGTTCATAACGTCGTCTGTTGATATGAACACTTTTCTGCGTGGAGTACGGATGTGTCGGATGACGCAATATCCACGCTGTTCCCAGTAGTCGGGCTCCGGTGCCGGCGCAGCAACCTCGGAGGCCGATGGGTGAGTATCAGCGATGTTGTCGTCCATCGTCATCATAAATGGATCATCCCACTCCTTTGGGTAGGCAAGTGGAAGGTCGGGTATGGGTTTGTCGCCCAAGGGGCGAGAAGTAGATGCCTTGACCTCGTCGTGTGCCTCGGGGTTGTGATGTCGCAGGGTCCCGTCTTTCACAGGGAGGTGAACTTGCCGTCGGGGATGATGATATCTTTGACTCTGTGTACGTGACACAGGTCGCCGTCTGGGTTCTTGGCGTATGTAGCCGTATCCAAGACAAGGTAATATCCAGACCAACGTCCACCTGAGTGTAAATGGTAACCCATAAATAACCCTTCCCGAGCATTCTTTTTGAAAGGTGCCTGGCACCCTTCCAAAACCAAAAGGTGCTCAGACAAACTCATGCTTGCGCCTCAGGGAGTTGCGCAGGAGGAACCACAGACGTGGGACTAGGGACGCATTCGCCCAACGTCGGCATGGGAATGCTCCACGCTCGTCCACACATGGTGCTAGCCGTGCACTTGTTTGGGCAGCGGGCGCAAGAAAGGTCAGACGCCCGGCGAGCGACGGGAGGGGCACTCCGGAAGCGAAATCGGCACCTCAGGGGGAACAGGCGGAGAAGAGCGGGCGGAAGAGGGCGGAGCGCGGTCAGAATGCGCAAAGTCCTGAGTGCGCACACACCGAGGGACACGGCGAGACGTCAAGAGACCCGAGGAGTGAGCAGGAAAGAGCGACAGCACGAGGAACCAGGGGGGGCGGGGGCGTGGGCCGATCTGCGGGCAGAGCGGCGGGCGCCCCCCGGCCGCCTGTGGACGATGGGGAGCCAGTCGTCTGGCCCGCCGCTGCAGGCGTGGAGCAGCACCAGCGTGAACCTCTCAGGAAGCCCCAGGCGAAGGCTGGCAGACCCGTGGCTGCTAGGACGGAGCTCCGGGAAGCTGATGTGTTTTTTCCCCACATCCTGAGTGGGGTTCTTGTTTTCCCAGAAAAGCCTCTCCTTCTCCCTCCCGCCTCCCGCCTCCCATATCAATACCATGCTTACCATTCCAGCCTCCCATATCAGACCATGCCTACCATTCCATACCATACCTTACCTACCATATCATACCGTACCATACCATACCATACCATACCATACATACCACACACTACCAAACAATACCATACCATACCATACCTACCATGCCATACCACACCATACCATAACACACATACCTCACAATACCGAACAATACCATACCATACCAACCATACTATATAGCATACGTACCATACCATACCATACCGCACCATACCATACCGTACCTACCATACAATGCCATACCATATCTACCATACACTTGCATACCTACCATACGATACAATACCATACCACACATACCATACAATACCATACCGAACTACCCATACAACACCATACCATACATACCTTACCATACCATACCCGCAAGAGCGAGCAGGGCATCGGAGTACCACACTATTTACTAGGTTTCGTGCCCCTCCCGCCCCTCCAGGGAGGCCCCGCCTGAGCGAGGAGGGTGTCGGAAGCCCGTAATTACTATCTACATGGTTTCGTGCCCCTCCCTCCCCTCCAGGGAGCCTCCGCCTGAGCGAGGAGGGTATTGGAAACCCATACTAATTACTAGGTTTCGTGCTCCTCCCACCCCTCCAGAGAGGCCCCGCCTGAGCGAGGAGGGTATCGGAAACCCATACTATTTAGATGGTTTCGTGCCCCTCCCACCCCTCCAGGGAGGCCCCGTCTGAGCGAGGAAGGTATCGGAAACCCATACTATTCAAATGGTTTCGTGCCCCTCCCACCCCTCCAGGGAGGCCCCGACTGAGCGAGGAGGGCATCGGAAACCAATACTATTTACATGGTTTCGTGCTCCTCCCACTCCTCCAGGGAGGCCCCGCCTGAGCGAGGAGGTTATCGGAAACCCATACTACTTACATGGTTTCGTGCCCTTCCCACCTCTCCAGGGAGGCCTGCCTGAGCGAGGAGGGTATCGGAAATCCATACTATTTACATGGTTTCGTGCCCCTCCCTCCCCTCCAGGGAGGCCCCGCCTGAGCGAGGCGGGTATCGGAAACTCATATTATTTATATGGTTTCGTGCCCCTCCCACCTCTCCAGGGAGGCCCCGCCTGAGCGAGGAGGGTATTGGAAACCCATACTATTTACATGGTTTCGTGCCCCTCCCTCCCCTCCATGGAGCCTCCGCCTGAGCGAGGAGGGCATCGGAAACCCATACTATTCAAATGGTTTCGTGCCCCTCCCACCCCTCCAGGGGGGGCCCGCCTGAGCGAGGAGGGTATCGGAAACTCATATTGTTTACATGGTTTCGTGCTCCTCCCACCCCATCCAAGGAGGCCCCGCCTGAGCGAGGCGGGCATCGGAAACTCATATTGTTTACATGGTTTCGTGCCCTTCCCACCTCTCCAGGGAGGCCCCGCCTGAGCGAGGAGGGTATCGGAAACCCATGCTATTTACATGGTTTCGTGCCCTTCTCACCTCTCCAGGGAGGCCCCGCCTGAGCGAGGAGGGCATCAGACACCCATACTATTTACATGGTTTCGTGCCCCTCCCACCCCTCCAAGGAAGCCCGCCTGATACTATTTTCATGGTTTCGTGCCCCTCCCACCACTCCAGGGAAGCCCCGTCTGAGCGAGGAGGGTGTCGGAAACCCATACTATTCAAATGGATTCGTGCCCCTCACACTGACATGGGTGAGGAGGAGGGGAGAACATTACCTATCCATCTCACGTCCTACTCCTCCCACTGAGGAGGGTGAGGAGGAGGGGCAGTTCTGCGATGAGGAAGGTTTCATCATGATGATGGTGATGACGATGGTTATGCTGCTGTTCACGATGACGATGACGATGGCGATAATGGTGATGGACGATGACGATGGCGATAACGGCGATTATGATGATGATGCTGATGATGATGATGATGATGACGATGACGATGATGACAACGACGACGACGACGACGAGGATGATGATGCAAATGCTGGTGATGATGACGATGCTGCTGCTGATGCTGACGCTGCTGGTGCTGTTGATGATGATGACGACGATGATGCTGATGATGATGACGTCCACGATGATGCGGACGATGATGATGCCAAGGACGGTGATGGTGATGATGATGACGATGATGATGATGATGATGATGATGATGATGGTGATGATGATGATGGTGATGATGACGATGATGGCGACGACGATGATGATGATGAGGATGATGAGGATGGTGATGATGGTTATGATGATGCCGATGATGCTGATGATGCTGACGATGCAGATGATTACGATGATGATGAGGATGATGATGCTGCTGATGATGCTCATGGTGATGATGATGATGATGATGATGATGATGATGATGATGATGATATGATGATGATGATGATGATGATGATGATGATGCTGATGATGACGACGACGATGCTGGTGATGATGACGGCTATGATGATGCCGATGATGCTGATGATGACGACGACGACGACAACGAAGAACAAGCAGAGGAAGAGAAGGGGGAGATGGAGGAGGAGGAGGAGGAGGGGTACATGCGTGCCAAGTCGATGGTAATCCATACTTCAGGGCCCGCCTTTAGGGCCCGCCTGAGGAAGACGGCGACGCCGACGCTGCCGACGACGACTACGGCACCGACGAGGGCGAAGACAGAGGAGGAGGAGGAGGAGGAGGAGGAGGAGGAGGAGGGGGAGGAGGAGGAAGGACGAGGAAAAAGAGACCGCCCAGACCAACCTCACGAATCGGACCTTGGACGCTTGGGCGACTCACCCGCCCGCCCGACCTTCCTCCTTTTCATGTTCATACTCCTGGTCATCGTCCCGCTGCTGCTCCTGCTGCGGTTCCTGCTGCTGCTCTTCACCATCATCTATCTTATCCTCTTCCTCCTCCTCCTCCTCCTCCTCCTCCTCCTCCTCCTCCAGGAGGGTATCGGAAAACAATGCAGTTTACACGGTTTCGTGTCCCCCCTCCACTCCTCCAGAGAGGCCGCGCTTGAACGAGGAGGGTCGCGGAAAGCATTACTCTTTACCAGGTTTCGTAGCCCTCCCCCATTCCAGCGGGGCCCCGCCAGAGCGAGGAGGGTATCAAGAAACCGTACTATTTACAAGGCTTCGTTTCCTGAGCACCTGTCCTCCCTCCTCCTTTCTTTCGTCTGCCCTTTCGTGCGTACTTACTCGTTCGATGATCTTCTGCTTCGTAATGATGTTGTCGTACCCCATGGGTCCCACGAAACCGTTAATATCTTTATGTGGGGAACTCCGTTAGCATAATTCTCTCCCGGGACGCGGCCCGCTTACCATGCATCGCGCTGAAATTGCTTCCGGGAGTGTTTGTTCCGTCCAGGAAGACCGTTTTGGCAGCCACGGATTTGCCAGCCCTCGCCCAGCTTCCGAACCTCGGCACGGGGGAAGATCGGGGGGCGCCAACTCTCCTCGGGGGCGTCCGAGGGTCGGGAGCGGCCACGAGGGGGGTGTCCAAGAGGGGGGTGCAAATCATGACCGGCGGCATGTGCGCGACCCAGCGGGGGGGGACCAGGGACGTAAGGAAATAAGAAGAGGCGCTATAAAATCTGAGGAAATATCATGACCCCCGCCATGATATCCACCCCCCCGCCTAGTCATCACCCCCCTCTTTGCCGCCCCCGAGAGGGGGCGTCCGAGAGGAGGGCCCGCACATCACGGCCCGAGGAGGCACGCGCGCGGACGAGACGGGCGGAGTGGCCAGCGGGACGGCCCCGAGAGGAGACGAGGGGCCACGGTGTCTGGGGAGGTCTCGTGGCCCCGCCACGAGATCCACCCAGCCCTGGCCGTGACCTAGAGGCCTCCCAGATGGGGTCTGGGTAGATGGGGTCGGGGGATCGCGTCGCATCGCCAACGCATCGCCGATGTATCGGCGATGCATCGGCGATGCACTGGCGATGCATCGTCGTCGGCGATACATCAGCGACGTCGTTGTGAAGCAAACCGGGCCCCACATCGAGCCGCATCGGCGATGCATCGGCGATGCGGCACGATGCACCGACCCCATCTGCCCCGACCCCATCTAGGAGGCCTAGAAATACTCGGGGAGGCCTTGTGGCCCCCGCCACGAGGTCCACCCACCCTCCCAAACCCCCGACGTCATGATATTTTCATGATAGATGTTGAAACTCTTTTTGCGGATCACTTTCTTTGCAGTCCGGCGTGGCCTACGTCGCAGCGCGCTGGACGCCAGCACTATAAATTATAAGATCTGATGTGCAAAAGCCGCGGCTGACCACCGGTCCTCGGGGCAGTCCGGCCGACCTCGATCCCCCAATTCGGTTCCCCAAGTCAGGAACTGTTCACACTTGTAGGTAGAGGGACCGAGGCAGAGAAGCGAGGGAAAAAGCGACCGCGTCGCAGAGAGCGAGCGGAAATAGCCTCGTGAAGGTCCGACTGTGGCGCCGAGGAGGGCACCGGAAACCGCAATATGAGTGCGCTCCGCGGCACTGCCGGGTGAGCCGGCCAAGATCTTCAAGTGCCAAGCCGAAGGCGCAGAAATAAAAGGCTTCCCGGGAAACGCCTCCGTAGCCGCACGAATGGCACTTCACATGATGAAAACTGTCATCGGTTAGTCGTTTTGACACCGACGCAAGCGACGACAGGGAGTCAGGATAGTACACGCAGAGGCAAGGCACCATCAACCGACAACACATCAATCAGACGGCTCGGGATACACCCATCGAATCCGGCTGTGAGGTCTAGAAACACGCCCAGGACCTGAGAGCGCTGAATCATCGAGATGAAACGCACGGCCGACCGACGCGACACAGATTCCCAGCTGTTGCCTCGACTCTCAAATCCCTGGCGGCGGAGAGC